GATAGTAAGGTGTATGAGGTATGTTAAAAGTGAGTAGTATTTTAAGTAATTTGGAATAATTCTCATTATGTGGGTAATTGGTTAATTATTAGATTAATGAAGGATTTAATAAGTTAATTATGGAGATAAGGGAATTATTGGATAAACTTGGTAACCCCAACATGGCAGCAACTCAAGCCATGCTTGGTGACTCTTTGCTTGCATTATTAGATGGCATGTTAAGAGATTTGGGTGGCAAAATAAGCCTTATTAAGTGAGGCCCACACCCATTTAACAAAAGGCTTTTCTACTTTAGTATATATCAAATGCTAAAGTATGATCTCCAAGAATTCAATAATGTGAGCTTTCTATCTTTCAATAACGTGAGCTTTCATAAATAAATAACGTGAGCTTTCATAATTCAATACCATGAGCTTTCAAGAATTCAGTAACGTGAGCTTTCATGGATCTTCAAGAATTCAAAAACGTGAGGTTTCATACGAAGTTATACTACGTAATAGCAACAAAATTTTGTGATTCTAAGAAAGTGCGGTGCAATCCTTCTCAAGATTATCATGCGGATGTTTTCCTACTTCGATCCACTATTACGTGATTTGTCGTAAAAGATGTGTGTTGGAAGGATTGTCAAGAGAATCGGCTCAGGTATGTTAAGGCTAAGCCCTTCATTCATTTTGGCATGATATCGTAACTACATGCGTTTGATAACAAGGCATAAAGAGAAGTTCATACTCCCANAGAAGAGGTTATATATATATATATATATATATATATATATACAGGATTACAGTATTTTTCCCACCATCGAGCTATAATCGGTGGGCAGGCCCCTATTAGGCAACCTTTGATCAGATGGTAAATTATATACCGAGCCTACTGTGGCTGAGCGCCTATGAGCGAGCCCAGTTGGCCTAGATACAAAGCCTAGTATGGCCGAGCGCCTATACGCGAGCCTACTATGGCAGAGCAGTTATATATACCGAGCCTTATAAGGCCGGACAACTATTTTACTTACTATATTGAGAAAGTTGAGTCAGTATCAGATGGTATACGTTGACGATTTGCCCACAGTGGCCGAGATGATATGATGAGATGCCCTCAGAGGTTTGATGATGTTATAAACACATATACCTAAGCATGGTATGATATTTCTATGCATATGCATGGCATTGTAAATATTAATGATTCACAGAGGTATTCAGACATACATGTCGAGTCTTTTACTCCATGTTTCTCTCATGTCTATTGTTTACTGATTTTTATTCCTTACATACTCGGTATATTATTTGTACTGACATCCCTTTGCCTGGGGACGTTGCGTTTCATACTCGCAGGTCCCGATAGACATGTTGAGAGCCCTCCAAGTAGGCTATCAGCTCAGCGAAAAATGTTGGTGCACTCTATTTGCTCCGGCGTTGTTATTTGGTCAGTATAATTAGGATATTTATTGATTGGTATGGAAGGGCTCTTTCCCGACCTTTATGACAATTATATATTCTTAGAGGCTTGTAGACAGATGTCATGTATACGGGTATTGTATGGCCTTGTCGGCCTATGTTTTGAGTTTATAAATGATCATGTTGGCCTTATAGGCCCGTATGTCACGTGTATGAATTTTTATATCAGGTTGGGTCATTCTATGTCGGGTAATTCCCTCATGTTTACTCTATTTATCTCATGACGCCTCTTCTGTCCCACTTACCTATGATGATGTAATAATAAAGATACGTTATGTTAGTACTCGATTGAGTAAAGTACCGGGTGCCCGTCGCGGCCCATCGGTTTGGGTCGTGACATTCTGGTTGGTCCAAATAAATCCATGTGAAGCAATTGTAAGGGTTTGATGGTTGACATAATGTCTTTGCTTTTGAAGGAGTGTTTCGTTTGTTTACCAATGTGACATGCATCACACACATGATTTCTAGAAAAATTGAGTTTAGGAAGACCAATAGCTAAATCATGTTTGTAGAGTTTCTCAATTAAATGCATGCTTGCATGACCAAGTTTCTTTTACCACAACCATGGATCATCAGATATTGATGCTAAGTAGATGTGACTATCTATGTATTCAATGCCATCAAGAATGTAAACATTTCCATACCTTTTTCCTGGGAGTATTATTTTACCTGACGCATCTTTAATAGCGCATCATGTTTTCTTGAATTTAACTTCGTACCTTGAATCACATAGCTGACTTATACTCAAGAGATTATAGTTGAGTCCATCTATAAGATATACTTCAGTAATATCACAGTTATTATTGAATAGAGTTGTGTCGGTGCCAATTATCTTTCCTCTTAAATCATCACCAAATTTGACACTTTCTCTATCTATCTTAGTAACTTCTTTGAAAAAGTTTTTGTCGCTTGTCATGTGATTGGAACACGCACTGTCTAAGTACCATTTTCCTTTGCGGCTCTTTCTGTGGTGTTCCTCGCTTGTTTCACCTCGTGCCATGAATCAATTTTCAGTATCTTCTTTTCATTCATCGTCTGATGCATCTTCATCGGTCCATCAACCCGAGTATCTGTTCATGTCGTTTTCCAAAATGGTCATGAAGCACAAGTTTGCTATTTCATCGTGTTCTGAACTATCTTTATCACTCCAGCTTTCGAAAGATTTGTTTTTATTGAATCCTCTGGAGACCTTTCTTTTAAGATCTGGGCATTCGGCTTGAACATGCCCGTACTTTCCACACTCATAAAATTTTTCATCATTCTTGTCTTGTTCATTGTATTTTCTGGTTCGCCTGGGTGGCATCCTTCCCCTTCTTGTGTTTTCTATATCTTCACATTAAACCATCCATGTTTCTCGATACCATGGCAATCTCTTCTTCAAGAGCTTCTGAGTCGTCATCAATATCATTTTCAGATTTTTCAGTTGTAGCTTTAAAAGCAACTATTTTCTTCTTTTCTTCCTGGTTTGTTTTCTTGAGATGTATTTTCTCGAATACTATAAGATCTCCTTGTAGTTCATCATATGAAAGTTTGTTTAGATCTTGAGATTCGAGTGCAACTACTTTTGTCTGCCAAGTGGTAGGTAGACTCCTTAGAATTTTTCGAACTTGATCACCACTTGAGTAGGGTTTACCAAAAGCTTTTAGATCGCTAATGATTTTGCTGAACCTTGCAAACATTTCCTCAATAGATTCTCCTTCTTTCATCTGGAAGAGTTCATAGTCATGAGACAACATGTTTATGTGAGTTTCTTTCACTTTGCTGGTTCCTTCATAAGTAACTTCCAGTTTATCCCACATTTCTTTGGTTGTATCACAACTTGAGATTTTTTCATACACCTCTCCACTTATAGCATTATAGAGTAAATTCTGTGCCTTAGCATTGACCTGAACAACTGTCATTTGCTCGTCTATGTATTCATTTATATCTTCCATATCATCGAGTGGTTGAATTGCTGCTGGTAGTGGATAGTTACCCTTTTGATAACGCGCCATACTTTGACATCACAGGATTTTGCATATATTTCCATTTGCACTTTCCAGTGAGAAAAGTGTTGTCCATTGAAATATAATGGCCTGACTTGCGACATTCCTTCTTGAAAGAGTGCTCCAACAGTTACTTGATTTGCCATGATCTTTTCTCACGAGTTGTTAAGCAAAAAGTGTGAGACTAGCTCTGATACCAATTAAAAGTACAAGAAGGGGGTAAATTAAAGATTTTTATAACAATATTCTAAGTAGTTTACTAGTTTACCAATTAGTCGACCAGAGATAAGAACAGAATAATAATAATCCAGAAATAAAGTGCAGGAAATAAAGACACCATAATTTTTATAATGGTTCAGATTCAATGTGAATCCTACGTCCAGTCCCCTTGGGTTGCAAGGGTGATCTCTTTCAGTATTTGAAGTGTCTTGAGTACAAGTTGGTTGATGTAGCTTTACACCAACAACTTAGTTTCTGTGTAACTTTTCCTTTCTTGATACAATATCACACCAGTGTTTATCTCTTTTTCTTCCCTCACTAATTACACAGTAGATCTAAAAAGAAGTACAATACTTGTTTGGAGTAGAACAAAAAAGTGATAATGGTTCATTCAAAGTATGTCTGCTTCAAGCCTGGAACATATGTATATATACTTCGCAAGGCCTTCGTGACTCGCGAATCTTGAGAGATTACAAACCCAAGGGAATTTATCCATGAACCAAAACGCAAATTGATTCTTTTCGATAATAAGGTTAGGTTTCCGTTGATCTTTCTTGACTTATATCCTTGACAGGCTTTTCTTCCGCTAGGCCAATCTTTTTGTTACTTGATGGATCCCTGATTTCGGGCTTTAACAATCTCCAGTGTAGTACTTTGCACTCTTATTTTTCTTTGATTTTGGAACCTTCCTATACTGGCTTCCGTCAATTATCTATCAAATCATTGATTGATTCTTCTTCCAGATTTTCGCTGCTTCTTCCTTTTTCATAGCTAGTCATTGATATTTTTCCTTTTCTTTATTTCCGTTGATGGATTGTTTCCCTTAGTCTATGCTTGAATGATAATGAGTCTTGATTTCATTGTTTTATCCCTTGCGATCCTGCACCAAATGTGATATATTATTTTTCATCATTGAAACTCATATTTAACAAATACGTGTTGAGATCTCAAAATCGGGTCCAAATCGACTCCCAAATCATCAACATGGTCTGGAATTTGTTGGCTAACAATTAGTATTCAGTGTTGATCAATGGCCAAGCAAGGTGATCCACTATCTCCTGCATTGTTCATCATTTCAGCAGAGGTATTATCAAGAACTTTGAACAAATTATTTGTAGATATGAGGTTTAGGGTTTATGGCATGCCTAAGTGGACAGATCCTTTGAACCACTTAACTTATACTGATGATACTATTATTTTTGCTTATGCTGATCCATATTCATTGGAGAAGATAGTTGAGGTGCTGAATAAATATGAGTGAACATCTGGCCAGTTGATCAATAAGGCCAAAAGCTCTTTCTACATGCATGCTAATGTGGATGGATCTTTATTCAATTCAGTAGGGGTTAGCACTAGATTTACAAGAGCTGAGTTTCCATTTACTTACCTTGTGTGTCTAATATTTTACCTGAGTAGGAGAAATGAGTACTGCAATGATATCATCAAGAATGTGAAAACCAAGCTTCATTCATGGAAAGGCAAGCTACTGTCCTATGGAGGAACTACAAGAAATCTGATATTTAGTGGCGACTGATGTTATCGCCACAAATGATAAGTGTTTAATGGCGACAACTATTATCTCCGCTGATAGCATAATATTAGTGGTGACTATGAATGAGTCGCTACAAAATATAATGTATCTGGCTATTCTGGCCGCAGGTGCGGTGAACGCCACATAACACAATGGCTTTTGTAGTGACTCTTGGTGTCGCCGCTAAATGTACTATATTAAGTCGCCCCAAAGACGAAAAAAAGGAAAACAAAAACCCTAAAGTAACAAATCTCCTCCTTATAAATTAGCTAACACTCCAGCGTCTTAACCCCAAATCACCTTTCTCCTACAACATGCTTCTCGCTGAAGAGGACCACACACCGTCGGTGGTGAACATGCTCCTTCTTGTCTCATTATCTGGCGAATCGAGTGCTGACTTCCTTCCTCATTTCTTCCTCTCTCTAGATTTTGTGCTCTCTGTTTTCACAAGGCGAAAAAACCTAATCTCTTTTTCTCTATTGTGATGGTTTACGAATTATCATCATATTCAGAAGAAGCTATTATACCTGACTGTGACTGGTGTGTTTGTGCAACGCAAGGCTCATGGTAAGCATGATCTTTAGGGATTTTTGGTTTAGTGTTGTTTCCTTCCTCTATGAGTGTAAAATTAAGGCCTGATTATGTGGATTTTAACTCTTTTTTATGTTATCTTTGTGCTCTTAAGCTTTAAAACTACTGGGTTTGAATATATTTTTGCAATTTTAGGGCTTTTATGCTTGAATACTGCTCAGTGCTTGGTGCTTTGGAGTGCTAAGTTCTAGGTAATTTTCGAAAGATTCAATTCCCATTTCCCTTAGTTATTGGTTATGATAGCCTAGAAATTAGGTCTTTGAGTGATAACTTGTATTAATTTGCTTCATTTGTTCCCTTGATGATAGCCTATTTAAGATTAGAAAGAAAAATAGACTTGGGGATTTATTCCATCTTGTGATTTTTCAGAGAAAAGAGAATACGTGATTCACATATATTTGGATAGTTGATTTATTATGCCCATCTAATCAGATTCATCACTAGGTAATTGGCCAAATTGAAACTAACTGCTCTTAATGTCACACCAACTTCTATTTATTTGTTTGTTATTCCAATACTCCGAACAGGTTATTTTTACCATCCTAATATTATAATCATGTTATTTTTGGAGATTTGTACTTGTCAATGAACTGCATTAAAAAATCTGATACAATTTTCTTCTCATGTTTAATCTTTTAGTAGCCTCCTTATGGAAAACCACTTGATGAACTTTTTTCAAGTTTATATTCTTATTAATCACCTTTGTATTAGGTGTATCACTGAAGTATGCATATTTTATCATAAGAAGAGATGTTCCATAAGAATGTAGAAGTTGGAAAAGTTGTGTTGGTATGTGATTAAGTCGAAAGCATTTTTGACTTGGAGCAAATTTTGTATTCGAAGTTTGTTCCTGAAGAAATTGATATTTCAGCTTATTAGCAACTTTAAGGTACAATAACTTTGGTAGGATGCTTTGTGGTTAATGAGTTATGATAAGAGCCAAGTGTCTTAAATATTAGTGTTAAGCTTATGTTAGAATAGTGGCAGTCAAGTGTTCTAGTTTCATGATAATACTATTACATGCCTGTTCAACTTATACATTTATAGTTGGTCTGCAAGTTACAATCTTGTGCATTATACACTACTGTCTTAGTCATATGTCTAAATGGTTGTAGGTTAGTAGTTCCATTAGATTTTTTCGGGGAGATCAGTGAATTGGTGACTACAAATAGGTAAAAAGGGGAAAGTAAGCTATGTTTGAACTTTACCCCTTTGGTATGGTTAATTTGTGGTTTGATTTGCTAATTTTGTAGCTGCATTTCTTCTGCTGTCGTGGAGAACCAACTGATGATTCTCATGTTTCTTCTTGTATAAGTTTATTATTCGGCGTTATTATCATGTTTCAAGATGCTATTATCTTTCATGTAAAAAAGGTGGTTCTGTCTTTTGCTGAGGAGGCTTAATCCACCTGGACAAAGAAATTGGTCCCGGAAAGATGATGGAAAACCAAGTTACTAAATCTTTAACATTCCTATTGACAATCATTGTTTTTTACTTGTTTATTTAGTAATTCCATTATGTCTATGGGATGATGGAAATTAAAATTTAAAGAGTAGATTTAAGTTGTAAAAAAATGTTGAAGGCTACTGGAAACTAGTAAAAGGTTGGATTAAAGTTATTCTCATACATTCAAATATCTCATTTGAAATAGAATAGCAAGAGCAGTTTATGCATAAATATTATATGTTCATTTGAGTTGTATATATTGTATGTCCATTTGAGTTATTTTTGTTTGTGATATATGCCAATAAGGGCTTACTCGTGAATGTTTGAAATACACGTGTTAACTCGTGGCATTAGTAATGGATGCTTGAAATATCTAGAATTTATAACAAGTGCTCAAATAAAAAGTAGCTGAAACCACTTCACCAAAACCTGGGATTTGTTTCGTGCCATTGAATTCTCTGTAAGATTTTCTCTTTCACTCTTAGTCCAGTTCAACCTTTGATAAGATGCCTCCTTTTGTTATTTAATATTTATATTATAAATAGTGGACAACTGTAGAGTATATTGAAGTACCACATTGTTTGCTATAATTGTTATATACCAATGATTAGTGGTTGCCGCAGCTAAATTTTACTTCTGCAATTTGTATTTTTTTTTTCACCATTCAGTGACATTTGATAAACGTGGGGATGTTTAAGTTTCATGGTTGACCTTATTGCTACGGAGAAAGAGATAGGATTTATATGCTCTGCCAAATTTTTATCTCATAGGATATAACATTTTCTTGAAGTGCACATCTTATTTCAATGAGATTAAAGCACGAAGGCAGTGGAGATGTTAAACTCTCCATACAGAACATTAATTTCTATCGCTTGTGAAATATTTCAAATGTTAACATTGTCAAACTATACTTCCATCACAGCACACTGTAATACGTTAATTAGGAAGTTTGTTCCTTTTCAGTTGATTAGTTTAAAGTTTGGGGACTTACAAATGAAAGAGAGTGATTTTAGTCACCATTCCATATTAATGGTATCTGAATGTGTTGTCTAATAAATCTCCTTGAATTTTCTTTGTAGGTAGTTACTAATCTATCCTAAGTATGTGCAAAGGATAATGATGCACCTTCTTTTGGGCAGTACCAAGGAGCGGAACAATGGGAGCTGCCAATATTATCCTAACTTGCTTTTGGTCAGGCTTTTTCTCTCCCACCTTTGGCTGCATCTAGGACATGAATGTTTGTTAGTTGAATTCCAAAATCATATTCTTTAGGGGGGAGGGAATGGTGCTAGCCAAGGAGGAGCTCCAAAACATTATATTTATCTTTGTTCTTTTGTGCATTTCATGTATATGTAAAACTACAATATGTTATGAATTTGTTAATAAAAAGCTCTGGTACAACTTCGTTTGAGAAATGTCTTTATCTGTGTCTCTTCTAACGTTATGGATTATTCCAACACATTTGAGAAATATTTGTAAAACTATTACAGCATCATAATTTTTTTTAACAAGAAAAACCTATTTGTGGCGACTAAAGTTGTCACTAATCAACAAGCTATTGTGGCGACGGAGACTTGCTGCTGAAGGTTCCATGGTTTTGTAGCGACTAAAGTTGCCAGTAAAAGCCATTCTCCAGGGGTATTTGCTTATTGTGGCGATGGAGACTTGCTGCTGAATGTACGCTTGTTTTGTAACGACTAAAGCCGCCACTAAAAGCCATTATCAGGAGTATTTGCTTACTTATTGTGGCGAGTTTAGTCGCCACAAATTGTTGCTTTTTGTGGAAACTACCAAAGGTCGTCACAAATAACCTTCAGTAACGGGAATACATGCAGCGAGTCCAAGGTTGCTGCTATATGTTTATAGTGGCGACTTTGGGGGCTTTTGTAGCGACATTGGTTGCCACAATAAGGTGTATTTCTTGTAGTGAGGTAAAGCAACACTCATATCAAGTGTGCTCCAAAGCATGCCTACACGCATTCTGTTAGTGTTGGATCCTCCCGATAACATATTAGAGCATCTACATAAGACATTTGCTAGGTTTTTTTGGAGTACAAAGGAAGAAGGCAGAAACAGGCACTAGACTAAATGGCAAAACCTATGTCTACCTAAAGATGAGGGTGGACTAGGTTTTAGGTCATTGTTTGATGTATCCAAAGCTTGTTTTCTAAGTTATGGTGGAAGTTCAGGACATCCAAATCCTTATGGTCCAATTTCATGTGGAATAAATATTGCAAGAAGGAGATACCTACAATGGTTTAATTTAGAGAGGGGTCACATATATGGAGGAAAATGTTGGAAGCAAGGGAGGAAGTGGAGCATGAAGTACTTTGGGAGATGAATAGGGGCTCTACAAATGTATGGCATGAGAATTGGACTCATCTTGGTGCTTTGTATCATGTACTACCTCCAGACATTTACATTAATGAAGATCTTCAAGAAGTAGCAGAATTGAGGAATGAGGATGGCTAGAATGAACAACTACTGGAGCAGTCTTTTTCCAGATGATATTGCTGATCATATAAGGCATGAAGTGCACTTTCAAAATGATGATGAATTCTGGGACACACCTAGGCGGATGCCTACCTCCTCAGGATCAAGGGTTATGCTTCAATGGCAATCAAGAGGTACTTTCACAAAAAGAGAAAAAAAGGTATATCACTACAGGAAATATGAGCTATGACGACATTTAATTAGTGATATTTATAATAAATGTAGGGAGAAAGTTCATTTCGTGACATTTGTTAACAAAATGTGGCAAAAATACTAACGTTTGATGACAAATGACAGAAATACTGTGACATTTGATAGAAATGTCACATAATTAAGAATAAAATGACATTTAATTAGTGATATGTACAGCAAATGTCAAAAAAAGTTACTAGTTTCAAAAAAGAAAGAGATTTTTTTTTCCAAATCTCCCTCTCAAATCTCTAAAAAACCCTACTCCGCAACCTCCCTCTCTTAGAACAATTAAGTTCATTTTCCCCCTCCCCAGTTTCTCTATCCCGTCCGAATCCTTACACCCCAACCATGAATCTCAAAATCCTTCAGGAATAGCAGTTTGAAATGTATTCTCTTCTTGCTTAATTCCGTATTTCCTTCTCTTTGTCTACTGTGCATTGGAATAACTCTAGGTTAGCATTTTTCTTTATCTCTTGATTGGATTCAAATTCTTCCTTATTTCTTGCGAGTGTTTTGATTTCTCAGAGGATTTCAATCATATTTATTGCATTTGCCTGTGTCCTATGTATTTGCAGCAGAGGAATTGAGAGTTTAGGGTTTTGAAGCTTAATCTATGTTCTGATTTTATTTTGTGGTTGTGATTGTGTGGTGATTTGGAGATATGTTTGTTTGAATGGAAGTTGTGTGGGGTATTATTACACAATATGCTAATGGCGGTATTACATTCACAGATTTATGCCCTACGGCTGTTTGACAAAATGCCTGATAGAGCATCTTAAACACTATGATCTTTCCTATTGTTTGTGGAGTTGCAGTGAGAAAGTCCAGAGTGTGGCAACTTATGGTAAGTCCTTGTAAATTTGATGGCCATATGACATCTTTCTTTCTTAAAATTATGTGTTTTTACTAAGGGAATTTGTTCGTTGGTGACAAATAGCTTGTGGAATACTTCAATTAGTAATCTTATAAGGATACTCGTGACAATCGCTGCAGTATATAAATTCATTTTATTAAATCGTTCTTCCATGTAGATTATGCGATCTTCTTTTGACTTTCAATCACTTGCAAATTTATTTCCTAGTTTATGAAAACATAGGTTGACTACCTCAGACAACCTTGTTGTCTCAATTCAATAGTGTCAAATGGGTGGAAGCGCAAGGAAATTGGAGCTGAAGGGATGTAGCAGAAAAAGTGGAAGAAAGAGTTGAGGAAGTGAAAAAATCTGTTGCAGAATTTGCTTGTATCCATCCAGCCTAATAGTTTCTTTCTACCATTGTTTAATTGTAAGGATGTGCTGCTATTCACAAATACATTCTTGTAATTAGTTACAGAGATTTTTTGTTTACTCATTTTATTACAGTTCAAATTATATATATTTATTGACATTTATAGGTATTTATTTTAGAAATTTGATGTTTATACTTTCATGTATAGCAACGTATAATATTAGTTTTATATTTATATTATAATTGCCCTCTCAAATGTCAATGAGTAATTTTGACATTAGCAATATGCATTGTACAAGTGTCGCTAATAACTCAAGAATTTCCCGACACTTCTAAATATAAGTTAGAAACCAATATTAACTTATCGACATTATGGGAAATGTCACAAATTTTAAAGTGACATTTTCATAAAAGTCAATAAATAAATGTCAGTAAATTTTTTTCCGACATTAAAATAAATGTCAAAAAATTTCCGACATAAATTTACGACATTTGGACTAAGTGTCAAATAAATGTTTGAAAGCAATTTTGTGACATTTATGTAACTTATTACGACGTAGATCATATTTCCTGTAGCGTATGATCCGTACCTTCTTATTTGCCCATTGCCCGCTGTGCTTCTTTCGTAGGTGTTGACTTTTACGTATTGTTAACTGCAGGGGAAGGAAGACAGTATTAAGGAGATAGTGAAAGATAAATGCAGGTGGTTGTCGTGACTTTAAATACTACATTACCTTTAAAATTGATAACAATGGGAAGGAATAAACTTTTCAAGCTAAGGTAGTAAACACGATTGAGCGCACAATAGAGATTCCAATTTGCAGGCGCAAACACAATGTCTAACTTATTGTTGAAATATTTGCAGTAACTCATGGCGTTTGACGCCTCTCGTGTACAAAACTTTGCTCTCTTTTACTAAAAGAGAGCTTTTATTATTGGTTTTCTTATCTTCCATTGGCAAAGTACGCGATACTTCTTTTGATGTTTGTGACTTGTTATGCCTCTAAATTTAAATCTCTCAAACAATATGCTATAAAGCATTTGTTCCCATGAATGGGTTGGTAACATGTTCCCTTTGGAGACAGCTTTCGGCTTATTTCGCTATATATATGCAGGCAGAGTACGAGGTGTTTTTTAAATTTTGTTTGTTTTGTACATCTATATTTTGCCAGGACAGAATATTAATTTTCTTATCCTATTGAAATGGAGCAGTAGTAAGAAAATTGCTCGTCGAGTTGGTTTTCAGTTTTAGTAATATTCGATCTGTCATAAGGTCATGTTGATTGTCACTGCGAGTGTGTCGATTTTTCTAGATTAAGTATATCGCGCAAAAGAAGAACTCCAGACTTCAGTACCTAAAGAGTTTAGCTAATATTAGAAGAAAAACTATTCCATAAAATAGTACTCCTGCTTAAGAGTTTCAGTAAGATTTCAAGGCTTTCGTGTCCATTTTGACTTACTTTACCTTTGATAAGGGATGTTATTGAAGGAGTTATACCAAAGTGATAATTCTTCTTTTTATCTCTTCCGAGGTGGCATTTTGACAGCTTTTAATTTTGAGGAAAATAAATAAAACTACATTTTCATTTTTGCTAAAAAACGATGTTTTACATTGTTCCTTAAGATAAGTTAGTTAGGTAGGTCTAGTTTTGTTCTTAATTTATTAGCCCAAGGCACTGACATTATGATAATCAATTCTAAAATAAAAAAGTTATCCTCGTCTTGTATTATCTTTTTGTCCAAACAAAAAGAAAAATGCAAAAGAACTTTTGCATGTTATTTGTCTCTCGAAAATTATCTAGAGCTGGATTTCATCAATTGATCAGAATCTCAGTTTATGCCTCTAAAAGGGACAGCGAGATATCAAATTTTGACATGTCAAAACTTGATTGTCCCTATGTACTGGACACGTGTTCCCGTTGAACTATATCTTATTTTATACTCCCTCCGTTTCAATTTATGTGAACCCATTTGACTGGATACGAAGTTTAAGAAAAGAGAGAAGACTTTTGAACTTGTGGTGTAAAATGAAGCACATATATTTTGTGTGGCTATAAATCATTATATAAAAGTAAATTATTTCCAAATAAAGAAAATGGTCATTTTTTTTGGTACGAACTAAAAATGAAATAGGTTCACGTCAATTGAAACGGAGGAAGTATTAATTATTTGAATGCAGCTATTAAATGAATGTCAGCTTTCACTTGTAATCTGTCGATGAACTATTGCTCTTGTTCCAACCTTGATGGCATGACATATTTTACCACTCTGAATTCATGTGCTGGATTATGAGTTTGTTTTGAAAATTTTGCTACGTACATGACATTTTAAGAGAGCGTCTGCAGACAAATTTCTTTCTTTTTTTTTATTTTTTATTTTGGCACGTAATAACAAATAAAAATAGATTTAATTTCTTAAAATCTTGAGAGTAGCAAAAAACGAGAGGCAGACCAAATTTATATCATTTGGTTCAAGCAGCAACAACGTCTCCATCTCAGGTTCCCTGAAAAGGAGGCTCCTTGGGTTAAAATGATCAACCAAAGAAAAAAGGAACAAATACATATAAAAATCGGACAATCAAGGGTTGTGGTAAAATGAATAGGATCCCTTCATCTTTGATTAGAGGTCTCGAATTTGAACTCCATACATTAAATTTTTTTTTAGTAGAGACCGCTTCTCTTTTTAAAGAACTTTACGCGAAGCGAATTAAATGAAGTGGGTCCAATATGACTATCAAACAAGAGATAAAAAAGCCCAAAAAAAGAAGAAAAAAAGGAGGGAATCGCTCGACACCTCCATCACCAAGTTTCATGATGATAAAGAGAGACAATTAGTTGGATTAGCCACTTTTTGGACCAACTATTACGAATTTGATTGATGGATAGGCAAAAATAATTCTAGGATAATAATTTAGACCATTTTATTTTTTGTTTGGTTATTAATTCTGGGATAAGTTATCCGATGATTAGTTATCCTAAGACTAATCCTGAAATAAGTTATTCATTATTCTTTGTTTGGTTACTAATTCTGGGATAAACTAATCCCCGCCTTATTCCATGTTTGGTTAATAATCTTGGGATAAGTTATCCCAGGACTAAAAATAATACCGGGATAACGTATACATGCAAGATGGTGGAATAGTAATTGCAAGATAAGTTATCACATGATAAAGCAGTAAAATTGACAATTTCAAAATTAATACAACATACCAAACAATCAATAAGAAATAATAGCAGGACAACTAATCCCAGCATAACTTGTCTTCAACCCAAATGACCCCTTGGTGTTTAGTCAGCTTTTCAAACACATTAGCCACTGATCCGGCTAAATTGACCTTTTTGCTCCCAAGAAAAACACAAAATACAACTCCAGCAATCGGTACTATAGTTCAAAGTTTTGACAAGTCGAACTATGCTAAGTTCAAAATTTGTTGAACTTTCAAACCCGGAAACGATTTTAATTTTTGAATCTTTACTAGCGGTAAACTCTAGGTGTAATTCCTGATTTCTTAACCTTTTGCTAGTGCAAAATCTAGGAAAAATTTCTGATATTTGAACCTTCACTAGTGCAAACACACGGACTGAGATTTATGAGTTCATAAATCATGTACAGACCTGAAATTCTTACTTACAAAAACCAATCCCTGATAATGTTCAGGTCTCGTCGTCGACAAACTGATTAAGGCCAGATTCGTAAAGCAAACAACTTTGGAAGTTAAGAATACAACTAAACAATTTACTTGGAAGTTAAGGATCTGCAGTTAAGACGACAAGGACGTTATAATCATAACATTAGACGTAACATCAAATCTAAACAAGTAAATCCATCCTATTTGCTTTATTGAGTAATTTCTTTCATCTGCAACATTAATTAACCAATGAAGTATTAATGCAACAAGGAATAAAGAAAAGAAGAAATCCCAATAAATAATACTGGATTCGATGCTGAAGTTTTACATGTGAAAGTTTCAAACTCCGGCATACGGTGCTGAATTTCACATGTAGGAAATTCCAAACTCCAGTACAATCTAATTAAAGCTTCAAAATTCAGTATTGATCGCTGGAATTGTGTTCCGTATTCTAGGTATGAGTATTTTTGTTCAAATGTTTTTTGTGTGAAAAAAATGGTTAAATGCTTATAGCTTTCTAAATATAGGCTAAACTTTAATAGAGGGTGTTAAAAATAGCTATTTTCCAATTTCTAAAGGAAGCATAGCATATGAAAGTGGATTAGTTGTATGAGCCTACTAAGCACACATAGTTTGGCCCGTATCAGCTGTGTCACGATCCAAAATTCACAAGCCGTGATGGTATCTAATCCGACCCATTAGGTCAGCTAATTAACAGTTAACACAATTCTAATAAATAAATGTGATCAACAATTAATATATTTGGATTTCAAACAATAACCCAAGGACTGGTAGTACAAAACATAAGCTACTAAGATTGGATTATTGCAAAAACGGATGTTAATAAATACAACTTCTGTTTCAAATGTACATAAACAGAATTCAACTCTAGAACTACCCAGGGACAAGTGATAGCCACATCCGGAAGGCACGAACATCTTCAGAGTCAGCCCCCATCATCTACCGCAACTCTGCTCCAAAAATCTACACTCAAGGTGTAAAAGTGTAGTATGAGTACAATTGACCCCATGTACTCAGTAAGTATCTTGACTAACCTCGGTGAATTAGTGACGGGAATTTTTAGTTAAAAGATACTGATGTTTGGTTATAATTACATATTTTTAGTGCATTACTTACCTTACATTTTGGGGCTTTAATGCTAAACTATACTATATTTATGCTTAATTGAGTCTATTTTATGTGTAGGTGAATTGGAGATGAAAGTAGAAGAAAAAGGAGACCTACAAGTCGAAAGCGTACGCAGGAGCAGTAAATGAGAGAACCTGGCGACGCCAGGCTTGAAGCTGGCTTTAGGCTGGCTTTGCAAGGCTAAAGCCAGGCTGAAGCTGGCGTTAGGCTGGCGACGCCAGGCTGAAGCTGGCGTTAGGCTGGCGACGCCATGCCTGGGGCCAGGTCCAATCCGAGTTTTGAAGACTTAATTCGTTTTCGGGTTTGACTAGGACTTGTCCTACATAT